TCACAAACTTTTAGCCAAAAAGTGTGACCGTAAGCCAATAAAAATTTAGAGATCATTCTAGAATCGATCTAGAACACAAAATGTGATCTACCCAAATTTGGAAATATCCTCTGTTGATAAATAGGCTTGCATGATACACGATGATGTACGTACGTATCAAGATCAACAATTAGCGTTAGCGTTCTATCTTTAAAATAATAGTAATAATAGGATAGCTGATCAATTATTTAGTGTATATATCATTATTCGATTGTTTAGTGTAATATATCGCCGACTCTCAATCCCTTATTTATACATACGTAAAAATGGTTTCCATAAAAAGAACAGATCAAATGCGTACGTACAGTACGTAGATTAGTCATGTCCGAAATTCGAGCACTAATACAGCCCTAATACTAGCTAATATTATAGCAAAATTACGATCCGGGCAACGTCCCTTTAGTACATCGGTTAGCGGTTTTATTAGTACAGCTAAAATTTGGTGATTTTGGGCAAAATTACTCAAGTCCGGAAACTCGGGTTACACGAATCTCGATTTTACCAGCTAAAGAAGACGTTCGTTAAGCTGCACTAACTGTAGATACTTTATAAAGTAATACACTTTTAAGAAAATTTGGTTGATGATAGGGAATGTCCTAGTTTTATCGAGTTTAAAATACCGTAAAACTGTAAAATAACGATCGTGGGCGTTATTTCGAAAATCGGATTTCTTAAAATAACGCCAATTTCAATCTTAAAAATAATGCATTCGAAATAACGCGTTATTTCGTGGTTTTACGGTAAATGAAATCGCTGCTCGAAAATTCCATCCCAGCTGGTATATACATGCTTGGTCTATCTTTTAGACTCTAAAAATAACCTTTGATAATAGTCTATGAAATTTTTTACAATCTCGTATGCTCGTGGTCAAACTTCAAAACTTTGTAGGATAATAATGCCTAATACTGTAGTTGTAATGAGCTTATTAGTCATAATAAATATTATTTACTTATTTAAATTTCTTTTATTTCACACTTTTATTGCTTAAATTGAGAACGTGAATTATTTACATTTCATAACAAATACTTACCTCAAATCTGAAATGACATCCAATCAATCCAACAGATCGGAATATATCACGAATCCTTCTTTTGTTGGAGATAAACTTTCTATTGAAACTCTTCCTGCTCGAAATTCTCCTGCCGAAAATTCTCCTGCTGGAAATTCTCCTGCCGTAAATTCTCATAATGATTCTCATGTTATGAATTCGATGAATAATAATCATATTCATAGAACCAAGTCAATTATCTGGGGTGAAGACTTTATTTTTGGTTCAAAAGATGTTTTTTGTTTCCTTAAGTTCTAAATTATATTTTATAAATTATTAATTAAAAAAAGGGTTTCAAGACCCAAGTGCTCCACGTGTAAATTGTGGCGCAGTACTCGCTAATATGCCTTCAAGGCCAAACTCTGGAATCTGGACTCCAAATCCTGAGAAAAGGGGGCAGTTATAACGTTAAAAATCCTTTCTTTTTTTTTAATAATAATATATGAGAATATGATGTGAATCTACATTATTAAGATGTCATAATTGTTTGTTATTATAATAAATTTTTGTGTATCTTATAATAGATGTTAAACAATTAAACGTTAAATTCTTATCCAATCTTAGTAATGTCTCTATACGTACGTACGCATTTGGTTCATAGATGTGGGCAGATTGTATATTAGCCAAGACTTGTGTGATGGAACAAAGCTTCTGGCATAATGTTCGTCGATTCAGGAATTGCAGACTTTCCTATTAACCAGCGATTATTCCCTTTCACTAAGCCATTGTATTATGCAACCAAATTTATTTGCTTTTCTTTTTTTCGAATCTCTGAAAAATTAGTTGAGATTAAGTTAAGACTGTTGACTGAAACAATTTATTCCAGAAGATCAACCATATAAAGGTAGTAAATTACAGAAAGGTGTGGTATCTTCTGCCTTCAAATTGTTTCGTTCATCAATACGTTGCAGGTTGGGTGCCTGGCACAGCTCGCATGTCATTATTGGCATTCTACCACAGATTTGAGTAGATAGCATGCTAAACATTTGAGTTGCGAAATGTCCTCCTGTATTTCCATATAACTTATCAGTCTATTCTAAAAACTTATATGTAAAAATTAATTCTGTTACAGTTCAGAATGAAAACTATCCTCACCAGCTCTAATTTTTAGGTCTGTGCTTTGATGGTGCATTGGGTAAACTATTAAAACACTATAGCAATAGCTTCTTTGTTGTTTTAATAACAGACTATAAAATCCTGAGCAACGCTATCCCAACACTATCCCGACAAATATAAAGTCCCAATAAAAAAAAGTTTATTAAATTTTATTAAATAGCTATCAAGTTATTCCTTATAGTAATTTGCAAAAAATTGCTGTCTTTCTTTTTTTTGTATATTAAGGCGAGGTTTTGCTCATTTCTTTATTTAATAATTTGTAGAAGATGCTTCTTTGAATAAACCAATTACAAAATCTTTTTTTTACAAGAATAGAGCTCAAACTATAGACAAAAACTATCTAATAATAACTATTTAATTTACAGTATTTTTATACTTGTAATTTTTAATACAGTTCCAAAAATGTGGGACCTCTAAAGCGGAGCAGATTCTTATTATATTTTATTGAATTTAGGGTTAGATTACCTTATATTAAGGTTAGGTTAGGTTTTAGGTAGTTATATATAAGCAAAATTGCCTTCTCGATATTTTTGATTAACCCACCCGAGTTAGGTTCTTTACAGAAACTAGCATTTTTTTTAGTTATTAATATGATATTTTTTATAATTAAAGGGATTATATAACCCACGGGTACATATAACCCATATACCCACGTCACGTTGGGGTTCTACGTCAACCATGTAAATCAAAATTATTTGTGGTCCCATAATAAATTTTATTATTGAAGATT